AGGTGTGCGTTTTTGTTGTGTCTTGTTGACTGTTCTTATTGTTTTTTTTTGTTTTTGTTTTTCTTTCCTTCTGTCGTATTGCCACCGTATGTGGGCTCTCCAATGTGCTCCACTCAGTGAGAATGGCCTTCTGTTTTTTTATTGCCTTCTTTTTCTTAAAGAATTTTTTTTTTTTTTTGCTCTCGCTGTTTCCCTCGCAGCTCGCCGCGCGCGTGCGTGTGTGCGCTTCCCCCTTCATTGACCGCTGCCGCACTTGGTAGGCGCCTTATGTATAATATGCCCGCACTTACGTTGGGCTCTTGGCTGTGGTGGGCCGCGCGACGGGCTCCGACGGGGGTGGGGGCGGGGGAGAAAAACCAAAACAAAAAAAAACACAAAAGCAAAAAATACCGCCGTGAAGTGACTCTTCTGGGACGATGTTGTAGGGGGGAGGGGCGATACCGTGAACGTTGAAGTGCCAGAAGATAACAGAAGCCCACACCCACCCACACACACACACACACACAAAGGCATTTCTTACTTTCTAGCTGTATCTATCCACACATGTGTGAGTATACACATGTGTGCATCTATTTTTCCTTTCACGCGTGTTTTCTGTCTCTCTCATGCTTTCTTTGAGTGTGTGTGTGTGCTTCCCCCTTGCTTAACAGATGTCGCACTTGTTAGGTGCCCATGTATAATATGCCCGTACGCATGTAGTTCACAGAACGAGACTGGGTGGGAGAGAGGGGGAGAGGGCGATATATATTGAACGCCGAAGTGAGAGTTGAGAGGGGTTGAACGTAGAATATACGTACAGATGCTTCTATAGCTGTAAACGAGGGGATAAGTACGAAAAAAGGAAAAGGAAAACATGTATTGGCGGGGTTGCCACTAATAACGCTGATTGCCTGTGTGCGGTGTCCCCTTTTGTTAGTTTGTGAGTGTGCGGTTGCGCGGTCCTCGTGCTTGCCCCCACTCCCCCCTCTCCTCCTCTTACCCCCCGCCTTTGCCCTCTGGCTTCTTCGCTTCCACTCTCTCTCCCGCCGCTCCCGGCGTCTTTCCGTTTCCTCCGCTTTTCTTCCTGTTTCTGACGCGTTACTCGCCGCTGTACTTTGCCCCTTCTGTTTGGCGTGGTGCGCCCAACCCTGCGTGGGAGTGATGGTGTCCGTAATGCTTTTCACTTCCTTTCTGTGCGTGTGGTGGTTGGAGGCGGTGGGAATAGAGATGTCGAACGGAACCAAAAAAAAAAGTAACGTTTTTTGCTGCCCGTGCTCTTTTGCGAGGTTACCACAATCAAACAGACACGAATGTGATCACTAGACACTGTTGTCTATTCCATCGTCTGCCGCCAGCGTGCTTGCGAGGGTGACGTTTGGCGTTATGTGTATCTTCGGTTCGTTGCCTTCACTTTTTCTCCCCTCCTTTTTTTCCCCCTCCCCCCCGTGGTTTTTGGGTTCTGTTGCGTTGCCTTCCCGGCTCACTTTGGTGCCCCGTGAGAACGCCGCCCGCTCGGCGCTCGATGGACACACCGGCAAGCGGCGGCCCCGCTCTGCCGGTCGCGGTGTTGCCCAGCGGCGTTGGGCGCCACGGCCCGCCGCCACGGTGGCAGTGCCGCAGCGCCTCTGGTGCGGGGGTGCCTGCGCCGCGCCCGGTGCGGGGGCTTTCCCGCCGGTGGCGAGCTTCAATCCGTACGGGCGTCGCGTGGTCGGGAAGATTGAGCAGAGAGAAGGCAGGGCGTAACGGAGGTGCACGGCCGAGCAGCAACGTGGCACCACGCGGGAGCGATGCGACGGCGATGGTGGCGTGCGATCCGTGCGAGCGGCCAACAACCACGGCGGAGACCTGCAGGGGTGTGGGGGAAGGTGCTGGTGCCTTGCCACGAAACCGCCGCGAGCACAGGACAAGGGCTTCGACGTGCCTTGCGCGTTACCGACCGCGAAACCCGTGCCCTGTGCATCGTATACTTTGGGCATGGAGGTGCC